ATCATCAAACTGTGTTAAGGGCCATGAAGGAGTCAGAAAGTAATGCTCTGTGGCCAAGGCCACATCTCCTCATCTGCTGATTCAGATTCTCTGTGGCTGCAGTCTGGAATTGTGAGGTTTTTAAAGCTACCCAGGTGATTTCTTTGACTCCGCCAGGTTTGGACACCACTGCATAGCTGACCTAGTGGACAGGGTGGTATGTAAGGCAGGTTGCCAAAAAGATGGGAGAAGAACAGTCTCTCACAGGTGTTTGAACCTAGACACCAGCTGAGTAATACAACCCCTACATTACCCACACTGGCACACAGACAACAGACCCTCATCTACCCAACAACTGAGCTACTTTTACAAGGTCCTGGGTTGAGAAAATGACTCTAAACTGCAGACTAAATTAGGTCCCTTTTCCAATATCACAGAAGTGCCATATTTTTATTCATAAAAATATTACATAACCAAATTTGTTTTCTAAGTTTAGTCTTTACAAAATCTCTAACGACTTCTTGAAGTTGAAATTAACAGGGTTTATATTATCTTGAATATAAGTAAGTGCATAAAGAGTTTTAACTAGTTTCAATTCTGAACTTTGAAGGGACCAACCAAATTTAATATTAGGGCAGATTATACCTATGAGAAATGTCAACTCGAAGAGGTAATTTTTTAAAAAAAGTTATAAGCTACACAAAGTAATGAAAGTGCTTCTTTTGTGACAACCACAATATAGCAAGCAGCATATTAGAACAATTTGAAGCTATAACATTTGATGTGCTCCTGGGCAGCTCAGTTAAGACATGATGTAGAGACATTATGGAATGCTGCCCAATGACTGTCAATTTAGAAACATGCTGGCAATGTAGCACCTAATTTTAAAACATTACCTAGCACAAAATTTCACCTGCATTACTCTGTATTATATCATCACTCTCAGAGCTGCTTTTTGGATGGGTTTCTCTGGCTGCCTGAGATGGATCCTGAGCCATGGCGGATTTCAGGGATGTGACAAGCTCTTTTGATGACAGCCAATTCCACAGCATTCCTTTTTTCACTAGGGTCTGTGCTTTTTTCGAGTTTCTTACAAACTTGAGTGATTAGCATTTATAATGTCTTGAAGATAGTAAGTTACTGAAAGCAACAAGAACACATGGAAATAATATGCATAATAGACCAGGTGAAATGGATGGACACATGGTTCTGACCTCCAAAAAGGAAATCAAGAAAAATGATATAAG